AAAATAAATAAGGAAATAGGGACTCAAGTAACACTATAAACCAGCTGGACGTCACAAACGTCTAGAAAACACTCCCCCCCAACAACAGCGGAATACACATGCTTCTCTAGGCATATCAAACATCCTCCAGGATAAACCAAATGCTAAAACAAGCATCCATAAATTTAACAGGATAGAAATAATGCAAAAATATGTTATCTGACCACAATGAGATGCTATTAGAAGTCAATAACAGAGAAATTTGGGAAGTCACAAATATGTGGAAATTAAAAATACAGTCCTAAATAACCAACATATCAAAGAAGAAAGCAAAAGGGAAATTAGAAGATAATTCAAGGTGAATAAAAGTAAAAATAAAACATACCGAAAGTTTTGCCGCATTATTGGGATGTGGCAAAAGTGGTGCTTAGAGGGAAATTTATAGTTATAAATACCTGTATTTAAAAAGAAGATCTTAAATCAACAACCTAACTTGCCACTTTAAAACACTGAGAAAAGAACAGCAAACTAAACAAAGCAAGTAGAAAGAAGGAAGTATTAAATATTATAGTGGAAATTAATGAAGAGGGGAATAGAAAAACAAATGAGAAAAATCCAAGAAAACCAAAAGCTACTTCCTTAAAGAGATCAGCAAAGCTGACAAGCTTTTACTTAGACTGATCAAGAGAAAAAGAGAGAAGACTCACATCACTAGAATCAGAAATGAAAGAGGGGACGTTATTACCAAACTTCCAGAAATAAAAGTAATTAAAAAGAATACCATGAACAGTTGTATTCCAATAAATTAGATAAATGAAATGGACAAATTCTTGGAAAGACACAAACTACCAAAAGACTCAAGAAGAAATTGACAACTATTGGCCTATGTAAAATAGACTGAATTAATAATAAGGGGAAAACAATCACAAAGAAAAGCCCAGATAGCTTCACTAGTGAGTTACGAAACATTTCAAGAAGAATTAATGCCAAGTCTTCACAAGTTCTTCCAAAAAAAGTAGAAGAGAAGGAATATTTCCCAACTTACTCTGCAAGGCCATTATCTCCTTTACATCAAAGCCAGACAAAGACATTACAAGAAGAGAAAACTACAGGCTAATATTTCTTAGGAATATGAATGCAGAGTTCCTCAAAAAATACCGGCAAACTGAATCTAGTAATATATGTATATATAAAAAACATCATGACCAAGTGGGATTTATCCCAGGAATGCAAGGTTGGCTTAACCTCAGAGTTGGCAACAAGTTCTTAGATATGACACCAAAAGCACAAGTAACAAAAGAAAAAATTAATTAGACTTCATCAAATTTAAAAACTTTTGTGCTTCAGAGGACACCATCTATAAAGAGGGAAGTGCCTGTCTGGCTCATTTTGCAGAGTGTGTGATTCTTGATCTTGGGATCATGAATTCAAGCCTGCGATTGAGTGTGGAGCCTAAGTATTTTTTTTTTTTAATTTAAAAAATGGGGGCATGTGGGTCACTGAGTTGGTTAAGCATTTGCCTTCAGCTTGGGTCATGATCCTGGGGTCCTGGGATTGAGCCCCACATCAGGCTCCCTGCTCAGTGGGGAGTCAGCTTCTCCCTTTCCCTCAGCCTGCTGTTCCACCTGCTTGTGCTCTCTCTCTCTGTGTCAAATAAATAAAATCTTTTTTTTTTAAGATTTTGTTTATTTAGTTGACAGAGACACAGAGAGAGAGGGAACGCAAGCAGGGGGAGTGGGAAAAGGAGAAGCAGGCTTCCCGCTGAGCAGGGAGCCCAATGCAGGGCTGGATCCCAGGATGTGGGATCTGTCTGAAGGCAGACACTTAACGACTGATCCACCCAGGCGCCCCAAATAAATAAAATATTTTAAAAATAATAATAATAAAGTGGAAAGACAACCTACAAGATGGGAGAAAATATTTGCAAATTATGTGTCTGATAATGGACTATCGAGAATACATAAAGAAATTTTACAAATAACCCAGTTAAAAATGGGCAAACTATTTCAATAGACAGTTCTCCAAAGAAGACATACAAATGGCCAGTAAATGCTTGGAAAAAATACCTGATATCAGTCTTCATCAGGGAGATGCAAATCAAAACCACAATGACATACTATTTCACACCCTCCGGGATGGCTATAATCAAAAAGTCAGATAATAGCAAGTGTTGACAGGGCTGTGGTAGAATCCGAGCCTTCGTACACTGCTCGTAGGAATGTAAAACGGCCCGGCCACTTTGGAAAATGGTCAGGTAGTTCCTCAGACAGTTAAACGTAGGGTTACCCTATGATCCAGCAACCCCACTTTTAGGTATTTGCCCAAGAGAGATGAAAACCCAAGCCACACGAAAACCTGTACACAAACATTTTAGCAGCATTATTTGTGATAGTCAAAGGGTGAAAACAAGCCAAATGAAAAGGGAAACATACAGGGGTGCTGGGTAGTGCTGTGGGTTGAGTATCCAACTCTTGGTTTTGGCTCAGATGGTGATCTCAGAGTCATGAGATTGACTGCATCGGGCTCCACGCTCAGTGGGGAGTCTGCTTAAGTTTCTCTCTCCCTCTGCCCATTCCTGCCACACACTCTCTCTCTTGCTTTTGGCTCAGGTCATAATCTCAGGGTCATGAGATGGAGCCCCACATTGGGCGCCATGATCAGCAGGGAGTCTCCTTGAAGATTCTCTCCCTCTGCCCCTCCCCTCACTTGTGTGCTCCCTCCCTTCTCCCTCTCTCTCTCAAATAAATAAATCTTTAAAAAACAGGGAAATGTGCAAATAAGCTGATGAAGGGTTAATAAAACACAATGTGCCCACACAATAGAACGTTATCTAGCTCTAAAAAGCAGTGAGTACTGACACAAGCTATAACATGGGTGAGTCTTGAAAACATTGTTATGAATGGAGCCAGTCCCAAAGGACAGTATATTATATGATCCCACTAATGTGATTCCATTATATGAACCGAGTATATGATTCTATTTATAGTCAATAGAGACAAAGTAGATTAGCAGTTGCTTAGGGCTGGTGGAAATGAGGGGATGTGGGTGGTGAGAGCTGAAGAGTACAGTGATTCTTTGTGAGGGGATGAAAATGGCCTAAAATGGACTGTGGTCATTAGTGCTCATTTCACGAATATACCAAAAGCCCTTGAAGTATGCACTTCTGACAGGAGCATTGTATGGTGTGTGACTCCTGTGTCCGTAAAACTATCATAAAGGACAGTCTGACATAACGGCAGTTGTGTGCCTAGAAGAAAGCAGGGACTGTGGAGTCCAGCAGACTGAGTAAGCCACGTCCTCCAGGAGGCAGGCACCAAATAGGACTCAATACACAAGGATTTTAGTAGGGCAAGCCCGTGTCCAAGATGAAATGGGGAAGGAGATGGGAGAGGCTGAGAGAACCATCAGCCCGTGATGCAGCCCGGCCCCGAGTGAGGGAGGGAAGGATGGTTTGGAGCAGTCACCCCAGTCTGCCGCACACCCCAAAAAAGGCTTAGCAAGGCTGTCAAGGAGCCCTCTGGCCAAAATCTGCCCTCAGAGGAGTTTCGTGTCAAACCGATCTGCCTTAGTGTCTCTGCTGCACTCTGTCGCTGGATGGAGATGCCTGTGCGAAGTGTGTCCTCCGTGCAGTGAGATGACGTTTTCAGAGCGCAGCTGGACACCCAGTCACCTCAGCTCCCTGTAGCCGGACATCCGTCAGGCACAGTCTCAGGGCCGCCACACAGACTAAGGTTCAAATCCCAGCCTAACAACTTCCTCAGCACAGGACCTTGCTCCAGATAGCCTGTCTGAGCCACAGTTTTGTCATCTGTAAAATGGGGGTAATTGCAGTGCCCACCACACGGGGGTATGCCTGTAACCTGCCGAGCCCGGAGGAAGCGCACAGTTAAGTGCTCAGTAAGTAGTAGCCACTCCCTATGTCGTATTTACTACTTCTACCGTTTGTTATTTCTTTCTAGATTTTACATACCGCCATTAAAGGGTAAGCATCGCAGTCTCTGTAGAATGAGTATTCTGTTTATTTTACTTAATATCATACCGTAAGTCTTTCCCAAGTTATCATTTGCTCTCCCTAATATTTTAAAGTCTGTGTTATGTTCTATAGAGTATGCATATCCTAGTTGAGTTAACCGTTCTCCTAATCACTAGGGTTTTACTTATTGTTTTTCCTGTCATAAAAATTTTTATGGACACCAGGTGCCTCAGTGGGGTGAGTGTCCAACTGTTGATTTTGGCTCAGGTCACGATCTCGGGGTTGGGAGATTGAGCCCCGTGTTGGGCTCAGTGCTGGGCTTGGAGCCTGCTCCAGATTCTTTCTCTGCCTCTCCCTCTGCCGCTCCCTCTAAAAATATTTGCGGTGGGTATTTTTATAGAAACATTTCCCCCCTGTATTGGATATTTTCCTTTGGGATCCTGATGAGAATTACTAGCTCAAAGATTGGGGACATTGTTAAGGCTCCTGGTCCATGCTACCCAGTTTGCCCTCCGGAAAGGCAGGGCTCGTCTGCGCTCCGTTCTGAGAGCCCTCCCGTGGCTGGGCCCTACCCAGCCTTGGGGAATCGTGTATTTTAAAATATTTGCTTACTGGGAAGGCAAAATGGCATCTTACTTATTTGTTCTCTGTCACTTATAAGGGTGGACCATTTCCCAAATGGTTTTGCCCAAGTGATTACTTCGTGGATTGTCCTTGCACACTAATTTATTGCGATCTTAATTTTTTCCCACCAATTTATACTGTATGTTTAGTAATTCTTGCGGAGACACTTCCCATTATTTGGCCTCTGTTTGAGTCAAGAGGGACCTATTGACCTTTCTCTGGTAATTTCTGGCCCCCTTTAAGCTTAGAAAGCCCCTCCTTCCTGGAGAAGGTCAACCGCTCTTCCTGGATGATTTAAAGTAAAACTGCAGCTGAGCTGCTCGGGTGATGTTTTAGACATTGTGAGTGAGTGGAGCCAATCCAACGGCCGTCCACTGGGATGGCCTTCTCGTAAGCGGGGTGCCTCCCTCTCCCTGTGTCCTAGGAGCCGCGTGGGAGGAGCCCACAGGTGCGGAAGCGCCATGGACCGGAAGGCTGCGGGGGCTCCCCCGAACTTCCACTTCTACCCGATGGACCTGTATGACCCCGAGGACCGGCTGCACCCCTTCCCAGAAGGGGCCACGCGGACAGGAAGGGAAGTCTACGCCGAGATGGCCGAGGGGGCTGGCGAGCCCTGCAGCGCGGCCCTGGGAAAGGCCCCGAGAGCCCTGGAGGAGGGGGTGGACGAGCTGGTGCATCTGTACGCCCTCGGGGATGCGGGCGAGTGGGGCGGCGAGCTGGCGGACGGGAGCGCGCCCTGCGCGGAGGTTCCGGAGCAGCTGCTGCTCCGGGCGCAGAGGGACTGGCGACAGGGGCCTGAGGCCGAGGAGCGCGACCTGAGAGAGGCCTACAGGTACGCGCACGGCCGGGCCAGCGAGGAGTACGAGTGCTACGTCATCCCCGAGGAGGAGGACGAGGACGAAGCCGCCCTGGTCTTCTGCGTCACCTGCAAGGCTCCGGTAAGGGCGCTGGAGGTTTCGGATGAGCACCGGGAGCACGAGGTGACGGCCCTTGACAAGGCCCTGGAGAGTGCCAAGGTAAGCGGGTGGCCTCCGTGGCTCCGTGGCTCGGGCCTGCGTACCCCGAGTGGGCAGGCAGGGGCTGAAGGGAAAAGGCCTGCTCGGGAAGAGGGAAGAGCGCGCTAACGGCTCCTTGCCATCCTCTGTTTGCCAGGATGAAATTCACAAAAACATGTTCAAACTGGAAAAGCAGATTCTTGAGATGGAGAATTTTGCAAATCACTTGGAGGAGGTTTTCATCACAGTGGAGGTAAGAGCGGGTGTGGGGAAGTGGTCTCCAGTACACATGTGCCACAGGTGGCTGGGTCAGCAGCTGTGACCCCTGCCAGTCCCGGAATCTGTGCCGACTTCCCGCCCTGTCCTCCCAGGGCACGTTGGGGATGTAGCTCATGGAGGCCCTTACCTGTCCACCTTCCCTCCCGAACCTCGGGCTCTCCTCTGTCTGGCCTCTGCTGTGCTAGGAGGTTGGGCTCTTCCATGGCCCAGCCTTGACTGGGCGTTGCAAGACACCCATCCCCCCTGGTTCGTGCCCCCAATTCTTATCTGTGTCTCGTAAGATGACTACACATCTGTGCCTGCCACCAAACATGTCACAGTCCCCTGCGTGAGCCCATTAGGTATCTACCACACCACAGGGATGCCAGCACCCAGCCTTCCCAGCCAGGGAAGGTGTGCCACGACCAGGAGGAGGCTCTCCACCCCCCCTCTTCCTACGCTGCTCTGCTTCTGTTCACAACACAGCCTCGGGCTGTAGCCACAGAGCGCTTCGGGTGGATTAGTCAAGCCCCAGGCCCCTCTCCCTTGAAGCTGGAACGTCTTCTCCCCGCTCGTGAGTGGGAAGAGGACTATTGCACTCCTCCCCCACGCAGGGCACAGGCAAGGCTCGAGCGTAAGGTCGAGGTGGGAGGGAGACGTGTGCGACCCCCTAGACGGATTCCTTACACTCGCATGGGCAGCTCGCCCTCGGACCAAAGCTGGTCCCCCCCAGCGAGGGCTCTGAGTTTTACCCAGTTTCTCACAACAGCACTGGGGCCATCGCGAGCAAGTGCTGTGCTCCTGGAAGACGCTCGACAAGTGCTCCCCGAGCCGGTCCTGAGAGCCTTTTCTTGGGAAACATCTCTGTTGTCTGGTGAGGCCGGCGTCCGTCAGAAGCCACAGCTCTCTTGGCCTTCCAGCCCGAGCGGGACGGCCGGTGGTTGACAGGCGTGTGTGAACGTGACTCTGCTGTGCCCCTGGACTCAGTACCGCCCTCCTATACTCCCCTGCCTACCGGACAGCGCCGTCCCGCCGCAGTCCTTCCTCCCCTTCCCTGTCAGCAGTCTCTTAGTTGATGTGAGGGTCCGTGTGATCCTGGCATTTGTGCGATGCGAGCGTCAGGGAAGGGAGGTGACTGTCGTGAGATGCTGGGGGCTCAGGAGGGAAAGCTAGGTGGGCATATTCCGGGGCGAACATCTTAAGGTCCAAGGATGCAGCGGCAGGCAGACACCTCACTGACCACTTTTCGAGGTCGCAGTGGCCACAGTGGAGGGGGGCGGCTTGGGGTGAGGGTGCAGCAGGAGGGGTGCGAGATGCTTCTAGGAGAGAACACCATGCTCCTCACCAAGATTATCCCCGGGGCTCTAGCTACCGACTCCTGGTCCTAGCTCCCGCGGTGCCCCCTGCCCAGCACCCCGGCCAGAGATGACCAGACGGGGGGAGGTGACTGCAGCAGCTCCACGTGGGTACGTTTCCATGCCCCGGTGGCTCTGTAGCGGACGCGGCATGTCCACTGAGATGATGGCTGACGTCCACCTGTCTTGCAGGAGAACTTCGGGAGACAAGAACAAAACTTTGAGTCACATTACAATGAGATCTTGGAAACACTCGCTCAAAAATATGAAGAAAAAATACAAGCCCTGGGGGAGAAAAAGAAAGCCAAGTTGGAAGCCTTGTATGGACAGCTGGTCAGCTGTGGGGAAAACCTCGACACCTGTAAGGAGCTCATGGAAACCATTGAGGAGATGTGCCATGAGGAGAAGGTTGACTTCATCAAGGTCAGTCATGAGGTGACATGAGGTCACAAACCCGAGGGACAGCATGGCTGGGGCGGGTTAGAGTGTCCCCTCTCTGCCTGGAGGTGTTGATGTTGACCACCATGGCCAGCCTCCGTTTGGTTCCCAGATGTTCATGATGGCAGGGCGGTCACCCACGTCCCTGCACAGCTTTGCCGTGAGAGGCTGAGCAGACTCGAACTTGGCTGAGCCCTTCCCTCCACTGTGGCTGTGGCCTCCGTCAGCCTCAGTTCCTCCCTCCTGGAGACCCGTCCCCTCGCTGGGGAGCTGGGCCGCCTCGGAGAGTTTTCTCGTCAGCTCAGGTGTTGGAGCCCTGGGGAGGAGGTTGTCCAGGCTAAAGAGGCACTTCCAGCTCTCCAGTTACAAGGGCACCAATTTTAAATCTTTATAAACGCAAACACACACACACACACACACACACATCAACTTTTCTATTTCCTTGAAACCAGTTAAATCTGACCTCAAGGCCCCATGCCCTCGGGCTGTGGAAATTTTAATGTCGGTCAGAGGTGGGGTCACCTTTCTTCACATGACCCCACAAGAATCTGGGGCAGTTGTGGTGTCTGGGATGAGGGGCGGGGAAGGGGGGCCTTCAGCTGCCCGAACTTCCCAAATGCCAAATGCGCCTCCACACTGACCCCGTGGGGGTCCCTCCAAGCCCAGCAGCACTTCTTCCTGCTGGTGCTGGCCCTCCTGCTCCTGCTCAGGGCAAGGGACCTGCGACAGAAGCTGGAAAGCAAGTTGGCAGGCTCCGTGAGGGCCCTCGATACGCAGACCTCTGGTATCCACTGGTCCCACAATGTCGCTGCGTCTCAGAGACACAATCCCGAACGTGCAGGACGTGGCACGTGCGACAGCGTTCTCTCTGCTCTCTGTGACGCTGAAACCGCAGAAGCAGCCGAGGCGTCCGTTAGCAGAGGCCTGGCTGCGTTAGCAATGGAGATCCCCTCGGGGAACTGTTGGTCCGTCTGAAACTGGCGGAGCAGATGGGAGCATCTGTAAGGGGGGCTGGGGGGCTGGGGCGGGGGTGCCGCGCTCACGCAGCCTCCCCGGGAGCACCGGTCCTCGGAGCCAGGGCACGGCCTCGGCCGGGTGGCCTCTTTGGAGTGGGGGGTACAGCTGCTGCTTTTCTTTTTCCTCATTTCCAAGTTTTAAAATGTGTTTATATCATTATATAGTTCGAAAAAGAAATTTCTTTTCAAAATCAGTTTGATATTTTCTCCTTTTCCTCCTCCTTTTTAGGACGCTGTGGCCATGGCTGACAGGTAATACTTTTGTTCTGAAATGTATTTTCTTATGCTGTTTCTGTCTCCTCTACTTATCCAGATAGACTCAGTTCCCCTGGGGCGTATGGTCCCAGTTTCTGCCCAAGGTCAAATAGCAGTGACCTTGGAGGGAAGATTCACCAGCTGTGAATCTCAGGACCCCAGGGCTGGAAGGGAAGTGGGATGCCCAGGCTTGGCCAGCAAGCCCGTGGTCGGGTCTCCTCCCTGACCCCCTCCTTTCACCAGGAGGAAGCAGGGCCCAGTGTCCCCAGCACCCCCAGCTGTGCCAGGACCCAGGCTGCGCTTCGCAGGAAGTGTGACATCGTGGAGTCAGACAGGCGTTCCCTGGGCGAGTCCAGCCAGCCTAGGACCCACCTCCTTATCTGCAGGCAGGAAGAGTTTTATGGGAATTAAAGGAGACACCGTCTGTAAAGCAACATGGACGGTGAAGCTTGATAACGTAAGGGTTAAGAGAAGAGGTTCTGGCAAAGGACAGACCTGGTTTCAGATTCTGCCCTTGCCCTTCACAAACCCCATGATCTCCAGGAGGCAGGAATGCTCAGGGCCCTCGTCCACGGACAGCAGGTTGAGTAGGCTTGGCCCTATGGAGAAGAAAGCCCAGAGTCTGCACACCTTGGGCCCTGGGGTGGTGTGTGGGGCTGGAAGCTTCCAGGTCAGCATCTGCACATGCCCCGCAGCTGAGCGCCCCCCGCCTCCCCTCAGATGCACACATTAGTCCCACCCATCCCTCTTGGAGGCCCCATTGGAGACCCCTGGGTCAGTCGCCAAAGCAGATGGCAGAAGGCAGCCGGCTGCATGTTAAAACAAAGATGTAAGAATTCAGCAAAGAGGCCCTTCTTGTGTGTCACTGGTGACCCAGCACAGTGGACACTCCCTAAAGGGGGTGCCTCTTCGTTCTGGTTCCTTCCAACAGACTTGGGAAATTCTTGAATACAGACACAGACGTGGAGATTGCTACACAGCCCGACTTTGAAGACCAGACTTTGGACTTCTCTGACGTGGAGCAGCTCATGTGCTCCCTTCACGCCCTCCCGGGTGCGTGCTCCCCTGTGCGTGCTCCCCTGTATGTGCTTCCCGCAGGCTCCACTCCCTGAGCTTTGAGTTAGACCTTTGACGGCTAAAAACAATCAAGATTTAGAAACAAGTATTCTTCCATTCTCATTTCACGTCTTCATGGCGTGTAAGGGGTAGAGCAGAGGCTGACCTCCCCTAGGGTAAGCGCCTGCCTCACTTTCCAGGGAGCTAACATAGGCCCCAGGCAGCGTTGGGATACTTTTACTCTGTAGTGTGCCCAGACTCTGCCTGCCTAAGTCAGTCCAAGTAAGTAGCCCAGATTTTATTTACTTAACTAGCATAGTAGCTGGGAGATGAGTTTTAGGACCATGGAGCGGGTGAGAATCCCAGGCCTGCCACTTCCTAGCTGTGTGTCTCTGGGCAACTTACGTACCTTCTCTGAGTCTTGGTTTCCTTGTCTGGGAAATGGACGTCATAATGCCTCCTGGGGCTTTGGTGACGGTTGCATGAGGTAATATGTGTAGGGCACGTCACATGGTACCAGATAGCTCTTAAGAATATTGTTGTAATTACTTATTTCTAAGAATAATATTATAATTTAGCTTTTTTGTTTTGACTGCTTGCCTTCTCTTTCTCCCCAACACTCAACTATGCTATAAAAATGTTGTATGTATCATTTTAGGTTTTTCCTTTACATAGATTTTTTTAAATAAGAAGTTAATTATTCTCTTTTGTAACCTGCTTTTTTAAATTGAAACAATTATGACTAACATTTTCTTGTACCGATAAGTTCCCCTATAATATAGTTTTAATGGGTATATACCTTCATTTGTTTACTGAGTCCTCAACTAGACTGGATGCTGGGATGTTTCTAGGTTTTTCCCCATTAGAAACCACACTGTAATGGACATCCTTAATTATAAATCTTGGAGGCCCTCCTTAGACTCATGGTTCAAGGGGTGATTTCACTGAGCTGTGATGTCCATTGGATGATCCCTTCTAGAGATGGTGCTGCCCAAGTCATCAGGCCCCAGCATTTGGAAGGAAAGGCACAATCACCCCAGTCAGTACTTTAGACACATGGACACCTCACCCCCGCTAAGTCCGGGTCCCGTGCAGACCGTCCCCCTCCTGCCCACATCTGCAGTCTCCTGAGCGGGTTCCCAACCCCCGGGCCATCTCTCTTCTCACTGCAGGTCCTGCTCTACTTGCTTTGGGGCTGTTCCTGGCAGGATGTAGAAGGACCCTGCTGTCCATCCTGGACTTTGTCAGTTGGGGATACGGGTTCTTTCTCTTCCTCCCTCCTTTGTCATGTTAGGACCTTCCAGGCCCTGACCAGAGAGGAAAGGCTGGGCTGTGGCTGGGTAAATTCCTTGGTGTTTGGTTGTGCTCTTACCTGGACGGAGCAATGTCACCATCGGAAGTGAATGTTGTTATACCAAGCCTGGGTCAGAGGGAGGTGCTGCCGTGGGAGAAGAATGATGGAGGAAAACCCAGGCGCGTTTCCTAGTGGTGTGTGAGTCTGGGGAGTAGGGAGGCTCAAGTACTAACCTACAGAAAATGAACAAATTGACTCAGTAGACTAAAGACGATGGTTCTCCAAAGCACAGCGGCACCCAGCCTAGTCTTCTCTCACTCTAACAAATATGTGGCCGTTGGAGCCATCCCCAGAGAAGGCAGGGCTTCCCTGTTGAAGGGATTCTCTCCCTCCATGGCTCACTTCGGGCTGCAGCCACACCCCTGTGGTCCTGGCTGTCTTGCTTCTTTGGATGGCGTGGAAGGGGTCAAGGACCCATGCCTAGGGCAGGTCTGGCAAACCGCACCCCAGCCCGAGTCCCTGTCACAGGCCCCTCCGCCCCACGCTTGTGCGGCTCTGTCAGAGCAGGAATGCACATGCTGGTTGTTGCTTGCGAGTTCAAGGTTGGGACATTCAGCCTTCCCGACCTTGTCCAGTCTGGGCTGCTGCATCTGCTTCCAAAGCCTGAAGATCAGTCCGGGGACCAGTAGTCCCTTGGCAGGGGCCGTTCCCCTCCCACCTCTGCGTAAGGCTCCTCACTTGTGTGTTTCTCTCCCTTGTCCTTGTCTAGCTCCTTCTGCTCCAGTGATAAACCCACAGGCCCCCAACTCTGCCACGGGGTCCTCTGTCCGAGTGTGCTGGAGCTTATACTCTGACGACACCGTGGAGAGCTATCAGCTGTCCTACCGGCCAGTGCGGGACAGCGCACCCGGGAAGGACCAAGCAGGTGAGGCCCATGCTCTGCAACGGCTGAGGGCGCTCAGAGGCCAGGCCCTGCCTTACGAGCAGTCAGAGGGTGGAGGTGGGAGCGGTCTACACATCCAGCTAATGGGGGCTGTCGTGATCTAGGGGCTACCTAGAGAACAGGATGCGGGCGGGGAGGATGGCAGAAAGGGCCAGAAAGGCAGGTTGGCTGGGGCGAGTCACAAGGCCAGGCTAGGGCGTCTGGAATGTGGATAGAGCTGTCGGGCCAGAGCTGCCCCGGGGTTGACCCCCGGGCTGCACTGTGTGCAGGAAGGTGGCAACGCCCTCCCCGGAGGAGGCCCAGCTGGGCTGTCGGGGTTCTGATGGGCCCCATGTGAGCATGTGAGGGGAGGGTAGGCTGGCTCTTCTCAGAGCAGCCCTGTGTTGGTAGAGACCAGAAGGGTATCCCCCAGACCCCTGTGAGGGGTGAGGGGGGCCACTGGTGCTCAGACCTGCGTTCTCAGACTGAGCAGGCTCCTGGGAACACACCCTCGCCTCCGCTGTGGGCAGCCTACCCTCTTCCCAGGGAAACGCAGCTGGCTGGTGTGGGGCTAAGCCTGGGGTAGCTGCCGCCCCCTGCCCCATGTAACAGATAAACCATTTACCTGTTGAGAAGAGAGGGTCAGACATTAGAGGAGCCCCAGCTGAGCCCTTGGGGGAATCAGGGGACCACGGCTAGCCTGGCAGGGCCTATCCTGTGTGCATGGAGGCAGAGCGAGGTTGGGGGAGAGGGCCTTGGGGATTTCCAGTTTATGGATGTGGAGACTGAGACCCCAGGAGAAACGAGCTGTCTGTGGGGACACATTGGGTGATGGCAGAACGAGGATAAGAATCAAGTGTGCAGGCTCCCCGCACAGAGTTCTGTACTGGCCAGACAGGTAGAGGGTTCTAGGTGCCAAAAGCAAGGACAGTTTTTCTGCCCAGGGACCAGGAAGGAAGGGGAATTTTTTTTTTTAATTTAAATTCATAGAGTGTATTATATGTATTATATGTTAATATAAATTAATGTAGAATGTATTAGTTCCAGAGGCAGAGTTCAGTGTTTGATCCTGTGTGCCCTCAATGCCCATCACCCAGCTACCCTATCCCCCCACCCCCGACCCCTCCCGCAAACCTCAGTGTGTTTCCTAGAGTTCAGAATCTCCTCTGGTCTGTCTGCCTCTCTGATTTCACCTTAATTTTTCCCTCTCTTCCCCAATGATCCTCTGTTTCTTAAATTCCACATATGAGTGAGATCATATGATAATTGTCTTTCTCTGACTGACTTCACTTAGCATCATACCAGGAAGGGGAATTCTTAAGAAAAGGGAGTTTAAGTGATGCTGAGGGAGGTGAGACTAAGGGGAGCTGACGGTGAGGGTGGTCTGAGCAAAGACTAAAGAGAGGGCGAGCAGGGAAAGAGGAAGACTGTAGGAGGGATCAGGGACCAAGAAGCCAGACCTGGTTTAAGCCCAGCTCTTGTTGTGAATCCTCCGTAATGGTACTCACGGCAGATGCACGGAGGAAGCCATTGTGTGGGGCCGGGGCCGTTCCCGGCAATCTCTGAAGATCTTGTAAACAGACTGCTTTGTAATGAACTGATATCAGCGGGTGGTGTCATGCATTTTCACTGCCTTCCCAGTCCGGGGAGGATCGGAGGTGTGTCAGTTAGCTTTCGCTGTGTAACAATACCCTATCCCACCCTACTCCATGCATATATATACACAGCCTGTTGCTTAAAATGACAAACATTTATTATTTCTTGTAATTCTGTGAGTTGGCTGGATATTCTTCTGGTCTGGGCCAGCTTGGGTAGGGCCAGATGGTCTGGGATGGCCTCCCTTACAGATCTGGGGACGCAGCTGGGGTGGATGGGGTAACTTGGATGGTACCCGGTCTCATCGTGCAGGAGGCTGGCTCGGGCTTGTTCACGTGGAAATGGACGTGTTCCCAGCAGCAAGAAGACAAGCCCCCGTGCTCTGGCATTTCCTGAGCCTCTCCCAGCATCCTGCTTGCTGCTGTCCCGTTGGCTGCAGCAAGTCCCGTGGCTGAGCCTGTCAAGAGCTGGCAGGGGAAACCGAACCACACTGAGGAAGAGTGCACATACAGGGATGCGGGGAATTGGGAGCCAATTCTGTAATCTACTATAAGGAGATTCAGCGCAACTAACTTGGAGCTACCTGGCCAATTTTAGAGATGAATTCTTGTCTTTTTTTTTTTCTTTCTTTTCAGTGTTTACAATGACTGTCAAGGAAACGTACTGCTCAGTGACAAATCTTGTGCCAAACACCCAGTATGAATTTTGGGTCACAGCTCAGAACAGGGCCGGCTCCAGCCCCACCAGTGAGCGTGCAGTGTACATGACAGGTAAGGGGCCCACTCGTGCCTGGAGCAGGACCTTGACCCCAGGGGACGCGGGAGTCCCAGCTTTCTAGCTGTGGCAGGACCCTCGACTTCGTTTGGCAGGGCAGGAATACCTGTGTGTTTTTCTTTCATGAATACATGAAATCTGTGTTCCTAGTGTGGAAGGGACATTTGCTCAGAGTTGGTCTCAAAATATCAAAAAGCAATCACAGTGGCATAGAACCTTCCACTCTCCTTCTGCTCCTGGAATGTGGGAAAGGGATGCCCCGCGTCTCGGTCCGTCTGGGTGGCCACAACAGAGCAGCATGGACCAAGGGGCTCATACACGACAGACATTACTGCTCAGGGCTGCGGAGGCTGGAGCGTCCACGATCACAGAACCAGTATATTCAGTGTCTGCTGAGAAGCCTTCCTGGTTCAGAGACGGTGGGCTCAGTCCCGGCTGTGTCCTCACACAGCAGAAAGGGGCCACGGAGCTCTTCGGGTTCTCTTTTATAAGAGGTGTCCTCCACCTCCTCCTCCTCATTTCCCAGGGACCCCACAGACCATCACTTTGGGGAATAGGTTTCAACCATGAATTCAGTGGGGAGGTGGGGCGTCAGGGAGTAGTGGGGTTCCGGAGGCGGGAAGGCTGGGGAAATCTCTTTTATGCCAGGACCATGCTCGTGCTGTCTGGCCGGGCTCTGGGCCCACTGGCTGCGTGTGAGCAGAACGGCTGTTCCTCTCTCCCTTTGTCCCGCACCCAGCGCCTTCCCCGCCCATCATAAAAAGCAAAGAGATACAGAGCTGTGAAGAGGCCACACTCATCTGCTGGGAGTCTGGAAACCTGAATCCCGTGGACTCGTACACGGTGGAGCTGACCCAGGTGGAAACACCCGAAGCCTCGGGCGTAACCGAGTGAGTCCCAGGGGGCCTTTGCTGGGCACAAGAGGCCTTGACGCCTGACACGGTGACACAGCCCAGGAAGTGCATGGGGTCGGAGGGAAGGTCAGTTTGGGACACAGGGGAACCTTAATCTGGGGCTGCTTCGTTTTCATGGGAAGTTGCTGGAACATAGGGGCGCCTGGGTGGCTCAGTCGGTTAAGCGTCTGCCTTCAGCTCAGTTCATGATCTCAGGGTCCTGGGATCGAGCCCCACGTAGGGCTCCATGCTCATCGGGGAGCCTGTTTCGCCTTGCCCCTCCCACCCCTGCTCATGCTCTTTCTCTCTCAAATAAATAAATAAAATCATAAAAACAAAACAAAAATAAAAAGAAGTTGCTGGAATGGTACTATTGAAGGTGCATGACACATGAATAAATGCTTTAAACCTCGGGTTGGCTTTCTCAGCCCACTGACGTTTTACCTTTCATTCACTCAGCATGCGCTGTGGGCCTCGGTGGTGCCGGGTCCGGTGCCTGGGCTCTGGGAGACTAGACAGACAAATCCCTGCCCTGGGGCGCTGACCATCAGGGGGAGAAAATAGAAAACAAGAAAACTAACAAATGCATGAGATGCTAGAGGAACGTAAAGCCACCCCCACCTGGAATTTAAGGGGCGGGAGGGCATCTTGAGCCAAAACAATAGAGGTTAGAGTTGCTCGCACAGAGACCTCTGTGCCCATCGTGGGAAACTGTGGGAGGCTCACGTCCACCCCAGGTCCCCAGAGCTGAAGGTGCTCACAGGTGGGTGAGGGCTGGGGTCAGCTGCCCCAGGGGCCTGCAGATCCCAAGAGTGCGCAGCCTGTGGCTCTGGCCACCAGAATGATCCCGATTTCCTTTGCAGTTTGTGCTGATATGTTAGGAGCCCCTGGCACCTTGCACCAGCCCAGACGAGGGGTTGTCGGTGATCTGGGGGATGTGGGGTAGTCCCCGCTCTCCCAGTACAGACCAGTCATCTTGAAGAAAAGACAGCATTCCCTCACAGACGAGCCCTTTCTTGCGAGCTCATCCCACACCAGCTTCTCTTCCCTGTGTGGCTCCAACCCCCTGGTCGTATTCTAGCTCTCCTGCTTCTGGGCTCCGTCCTGCCACGTGGCTCTTCTGTGGAGACTCCCGTCCCCATTTCATCCAGTGACTTCCAAATCATTCTTCGGAGCTCAGCTCTGGTGTCCCCTCTGCGGCATCAGGCACTCCGTCATACGCCATCACTACGTCATGGTTACCGCCTTCCATTGCCTCCAGTGGTGGCCTGAGGAGTGCCTCTCCTCAGCCTGACTGTGAGCTCTGTGAGGCCGGGGAATATGTGAGTTTTCCCCAGAGCCTCCGTCTACGGCACCTGGAAGCTAAGGTGCTTGGTTTAAGGTTTTTTTAGTTTTTTTTGTTTGGTTTTTAAGATTTTATTTATTTGACAGAGGGATCACAAGTAGGCAGAGAGGCAGGCAGATAGAGAGAGGGAAGCAGGCTCCCTGCCAAGCAGAGAGCCCGATGCGGGGCTCGATCCCAGGACCCTGAGATCATGACCTGCGCAGAAGACAGAAGCTTAACCCACTGAGCCACCCAGACGCCCCAATTGGTTCATGTTTATTGAACGAAGTAGGAAGGTGCCCCTCTGGCCCGTGGCCGCAGCCTTCCATGACCGAACAGCCAGGCCCGGTTGGGTGAGGGCGTCGTATTGGGAAATGGGCATCACCCCGAAGGTTTCCTTTTTCCCCTGGACTGAAGCGGGGTTAGCAGTTACAGGACTAGACAGCGGCTGTTATGGGCTCATATTCGTGTCTGGTAGAATTTAATAAATTAGCTGGGGGCTTCTGTTTGTCACCAACACAGATGGGGGCCTTCTGGGGGCCTGGGGCTGGGCTCGGGTCGGTGGTTCTCAGCCCCCGGCAGACAGCGGGGGCCCCATGGCATCCCACCTCACGCCTGCCTCCACTGACAGTAGATGCCAGGCATGGGGCTAGGTGCCCGGGCCCCCGCGGTGGGGAACCTGGAGGGAAGAGAGCTGCACACACCGGGAGTCACAAGGGAGCGAGGAAAGTGGACTGTGGGGAGGACACGCTCTTGGCTGTGCTGCTGGTGGTCGGAGGATGGGGGGTGCGAGGCTGGGTTTAAATTCCCAGCTTCAAAGCGGAGGTCTGGCGCTGGCACCTGGCTGGCTGGCCCCACCGCATGGTAACCGCGGCTCTGCCTCTCTGCCCAGGTCAGTGGTGGGCATCCCAGCCTGTGAGTCCCTGGTGCAGCTGCAGCCCAGGCAGAGCTACACGATATCGGTGCGAGCCCTCAACGTGGGGGGCCCCAGTGCCAGGAGTGACCCTGTGACAGTCCACACCACAGGTACGCGCCCAGGCCACATGCCCTCAGGGACTTAAGGGAGCCACCCTGTGGCAGAGCAGAGCTGCGTGACTTCGCTAGAAAATACGGCAGGCCAGGCCAGGAAGGGGCTGGGGACATCAAGGCCCTGGGGTCCCATTTTGTAGACAGGGGACTGGAGGCCCGAGTTACAGAGCAGTCTGGTGGCAGAGCAAACGGGACGGCTCAGGCATTTTCTCTATACCCTCAGGTGGGCTAGAGGCTTGTCGCCCTGGACTGCGGTGGCCAGACACCTCATTGCTCACATAAGCCACGCGCCACCCTTGGAAGGGCATCATTATTCCCAGCAGGAGCTGTAGGCCGTGGCTGGTCTCCTGTTCTGCTGTCTGCCCAAGAGTCTCCCAGCCACCCAGAGGCCCAGCTTGGCCCTGGCCGCTCAGCCTCTCCCTAGGTCCTGTCTGGCCACAGGGGGTGCCATGCCCCCAAGCCCAGCCCCCTGCCCTGTGCGCTTGCCACCCTCCTGTCCTACAAGGCCAGATCTCAAGCGAGCAGAGACATCGCTCGCAGCCCTCCCAAACTCTGCCTTCCCAGGAGAAGCAGGGCGCCCGAGCCCGGGCTCTGACTGGGGCCGTTCCCCGAGGGACGTTGTGTCATTCCGTCCTTTCCAGCGCCAGGAGGAGAGCTGTGTGATTAATTCCCTGTGTTGCTTCCACACAGATGGAGAAAAACCAGCCGAGGGGCCACCGAAGTCCCCAGAGCTGGTTCGGGCTCGTGCTGGGATTAGGACTCAGGTTTTTCTCTTCGGTAGGCCCTGGGCCTGCCTTAACCTGGCTGGTCCTCCTCCTTTGCTGTGCCGACACGGTGTTTTTGAAATGTCAAAGTCTGGCTATTTCAATGAAAGGGAACAGAGCAAAAGGGACAACGAGCCCCCGATTATTCAGTCATCTCTGAATTAGTTTGTTTGTACGGTTTTTACGAGTGTATTTATGAATGGGGCCTCTGGGCGGCTCAGTCGGTTAAGCTCCGACTCTCGATCTCAGCTCAGATCTCGATCTCAAGGTCCTGAGCTGAGATGGTAACGCCTGAACCCAGGTTTGAGATGAAGAGAAGTGACTTGACAGGAACTCAGGGAGAAGAACAGAACTTGGCTAAGACACAGGAGTGGACAATGAGTTACAGTGCTCTCAAACGATGCATTTTTTTTACTAAATAATTTGTTCTTAAATCTATTCATACCACTTTGTGATGAGATTTTTGTTTTAACCATGATTTGGGGAGGGCTGTCATCTCCTTCCCTCTCCCCGACAGCCCTAGCCGGAATGTTGAATTTCACTTCCCTGTGTCAGACATGTCAGTAACAATCTCCCTAGTTCCTGTTTCCCCGGCCGGCAGGAAGAGGTTCCCACCTACACACGGTGTTTGCCGCCTCCTGGTTCAGAGCCAAGCCTCTGGAATCGGAGGGGCTTGGGGGTTCGAACTGGAGATCTGTCATTTGCCAGTTGATCTTTTTAACCACCCGTGCCTCAGCATTCTCTACAAGGGAGAATAATAGCACCAGTTTCTTTCTCTCTCTTTTTTTTAAGATTTTATTTATTTATTTGACAGAGATCACAAGTAGGCAGAGAGGCAGGCAGAGAGAGAGGAAGGGAAGCAGGCTTCCTGCTGAGCAGAGGCCCCACCCCCACCCCCCATGCGGGGCTTAATCCCAGGACCTTGAGATCATGACCTGAGCTGAAGGCAGAGGCTTTAACCCACTGAGCCACCCAGGCGCCCCACAGCACCAGTTTCTAAGGGTGATTGGTGAGGCCTGAAGCATCAAAGACTCGCAAACCGCTGCTGGGGACTGGGCACAGGGAGCCCGGTGCGGGGTAACAGGAGGGAGGCACCCCGCGAGGCTCGGGCTGCAAGAGGAGGTGGCAGCAGTGACGGGCTCTTGGTACCTTCACAGGCAGCCGCTTTCCCCTGAACCAGCACACCTGCCATCCCTGGCTGACCGTGGCTGACGATGGGTTTACGGTCGTGCGAAGCGAAAGGAAACCCCCCCTGAAGGAGCTGCTGCCTGGCAACACCCGGTTTAGCAGGTACTTCTCATCAGCCTCTCACTGGAACTTTCTATGAACCTCCCTCATACTTGCTATTTTTCAGGTGCAAGTGGGTGATGACAGGTGCCGTCTTGAGGGGAAGCAGTCCCTGAGATGGATGAGGGCTGGGGGGTCTGGTGGGGAGGGGAGCCTGGAGGGGGAGGGAAAGGGTCCAGCTGGTGTGGGTGGAAGACATACGTGGCCACAGAGGTTGGGTCCTGGGCGGGAGGAGTCGACCATGAAGCCAGCCAAGGGTCACACTGGCAGACGACGGGAGAGCAGAAACGAGGACATAGGTCCCAGGGCTGGGCCCCGAGGTCCCTCTCCTACATCATGAAACATTGTTTTAAAACTCCTGATGGAAACCCAAGATGGAGGCTGAACCAGGGTCGGTGGGGAAGACGGGGATTTAGCGAGTGCCTGACCTGGGAGTGGGGGCCAGTCCCCCAAAGACGGGCGCCATCTTTCTAGCTCTATAGCTGTTTCCAGACCTGTTGCAACCATTTCTTTATGCCTTACTTCTTTCCACATACTTAGAGGACACTTGAACTCAGGGCAAATACACACTACTGAAACAGGAAAGTCAAAGCAGTGGGAGAGAAGGAACACAGGTCACGTTCAAGAGCAAATTCCATTTCCAGGAATTCACGTGAAATGTGGCTGTCAGCTTCCCGGCCATGGGAAGAGACGAGGTCTTGGTGGGTTGGATTTAGAGTCGGGAGGATCTTCCAAGAAGGAAAAGGGGCTCTCCTACGGGGGCCCCAAGGGCCACTGCCGCACACGGTATGCAGCCTCCGTGCCCGGGGCCCCGACCCTGCCAGGGCTGGCTCCTCCTCTGATGCCGGCTCCCTGCTGGCTTATCTGCTGTGTGTGCTAGTGCGTTAGTGTGTGTGCGCGTGTTGGTGTGCACAAGGTACGGTGGAAAGCGACTTTACCCACCTGCCTCTGCCCATTCAGCCCAAGGTCAGGTGGCATGCAGGCTAGGAAGAGATAAAGGTCTTACCTGTGTTTTAAAAAAAAAAAATTCAACGAAGCAGATTTTGAAGATCTTACTGGCTTTACTCCCTGCTGTCTGCACTGGGCAGCGTCCAGCCCCACGGGCAGAAAGGCGCGCCGAGGAGCTGTGCAGGATGAAAGTCTTCCGTGGGCCGAGTGAGCAGGAGCAAGGACGTTACAAGGACGTTACAGTGGGCAGAGCAGCCGGCGGTTGTGGCGGGTTAAATTCTTTCGGGGGACAGCAAGGCCTCTCAGGCACGTCACCTCACTCGTGCTCATCAGACGATGACTGGTTGACTGGCTAAGATTCCAGATCTGAGAGCACTGACCTGAAGACTTGTTCCAGTTTGGGGACATGGGGCTCAGCAGGACGGGGGCTTAGCCATTTTGGGCCTGTTGTCCTGTTTTCCACCCTTTCGGTACCTGGCTGGTACCAGGGTGAAGCATGTGCCTCTGTCGGACAGCTCCTGGGTCGTGGCCTCCCCGTGGTGGCCCCTCTCTGGGACAGGACGCTCTCAAGAACAACACGGGGACAGCTTTCCTGTAGTAGGTTCCATCCGCACCTGGTCCCCTGAAAACACCCGCCTCTGACCACGCCTCTGCTCCCTCCCCTGGCGTGTGAGCCCCAGGAAAGCTCCCCAGGCGAGGATGGAGCCTCAAGCATCCCCCGCTCCAGCCCTTGGATGTTCCACTGAAAGCTGCAAACCGAGTTTTGGCCACTGGGGCCTACGCCGGTGATCTAGCGCCTCCCCTGGAAATATGGGAGAGCTCCCCATCTGGTTCTGTTCGCGGCCTTTTGGGGTTCAGCCAAGCTGAGTTAGTCCCAGCGCAGTATCCTGTTACCAGTCTTTCTGGTGCCCTCTAACACCGTGCTGGGTGCTTGGGGTAGAGATGAAGGTACTGTCCCTGCCCACCTGACTCACACAGGCAAGTGGGGGAGACGCAGGTGTCGGGGCACACCTATGAGAGATATGGGCAAGGCATTGTGAGAGCCCCAAGGAAGAAGGCTTCCTACAGGGGGAAGGGCTGGAAGGATGAACGGGAGTCCTGCAGGCCAACAAGGGAGATTCAGAACCTTACATAGCAGAAGCAGAGAGGCCAGGCCGTTTGTTTGGAGAAGTACGAGCAGTTGGGCACGTCACGGGTGCAGAGTCCATAAGGCGAGAAAGATGGACGCGTTCTAGCGCAAAACAGGTGTGGACCGTACCCTTCTGGTCACGGAGAATTAAAGTAGGGGAAGTGACAGGATCAGATTCGTATTTCAAAAGGATCACAGTGTGAGCTGGGGAAGTGGGGGAGAGGCCTGGGGGTGGGAGGGACAAGGAGACCAGAGAGGAGGCCGTGGAGGCCCTGACATAATCAGCAGTTGGAGGGCGAATGAGAGGAGATGGACTCAGCAGATCCTTAGCCCGTAACACCACCGGCAAGGAGAGTGGCCAGCTGGCTTAGGGGCGGGCGGGGGAGGGATGGGTCAGGGGCCGTAATCTATGGAGTGCTGATCAGGTACTGGACACATTCCAAGTGCTTTATATGGATGGTCTCACTGAATCATCACAGCGGCCTGTGAGGTCCAAACCGTTATCAGTCCAGTTCGACAGATGAGAAAATCGAGGCACAGAGAAGTAAGGGAATTTGCCCAATGCACACTGCTGGTAAGGAAGGGTTGGTGTCAGAGTTCAGCTAGAAGCTGAGCTTGTAACCACGGCATTATTTTTCTGTCTTAGTTTGCTGCGTTAGGTTACTAGGTAGACGGTGAGTCTGTTTCCCGGAAGGTAGAAGAGATGAGGGGTAACTACCCCACCCCACCCCAAGCAAAACCCACAGTCCGGCCGGCAGGAGGGGTAGGCAGGTCTGAGTTCTGTCGGGGACGTTCTGAATGAGACCGCAGGTGGCTGGAGGTGTGGGTCTGGAGCTTGGAGTAGAGACGGCTTCATTTTACAGAGAAGGATTGAGTTCATGTGCAGTGTCCTTCCCAGAGCTTCGAGTGGCCTTCAGAACTGGGGGTTTGAGGATGTGAGGGTGATCTGGCTGTGACAGCTGTCACCCATGGATCACCAGGGTTGATGTGGCTGATCTGGCTGGCTGGTCGGGGACCCCCTCCCACCCTTGCTGCTCCATGCGTCTCCTTCGCAAAGCTGCATGCGGGGTCCAAGAGGACGACCTTCCCGGGTAGAGGAGGACCGTTCCTTGGTCAAGGGTATAGGAGTAGCTGCACTCCCCTGCCAGAACCTCCGAACAAGCTCTCAGGGTCCGTTTGCGGGAGAATTTAGGGCCGTCAAGCTTCCATGACTCCGGACACAGCCAAATGAGCCCCTGCAGATGGCCGTCTGCCTTTTCATAGGTTAATTAATTAATTAATTAAGAACTTGGTTTGAGAGTAGAAATCATGTGTTAACGACAGCTAAACAAACCTGTCTAGGGATTTGGGGAGCCACCTAGAGTTTCGTTTTGGAGATACTCGTGTGCCAGATCTCCAACAAGAACCTTTCTCTGGAGAATGCTGCCTTGTTGTAAAACAAAACCTAACTCTGACCTTTTTAAGTGTAATTGTTCCTGGGGGCATCTTGGAGGTGGACTCTGATCATCTGTGAGGAATCTGCTCTCGCTCTTCTTGGGACTCGAGTCCCCGTCTTCTGCCTGTGGGCTGTCGCTTCACACGGGAGGCGTTCAGAACACCGCCCTCCACGTGTGCAGACCACCTGCCGGCCGGCCCCAACAGCTGGCGTCACTGCCCAGCACGGCCAGGCCGGGGCCACCCCAGATCACATGTGCTCCTTTCTAAACCCAGGTGTGTTGCCGTCATGGGGAATCTAATTCCAGTCCGAGGGCGCCACTACTGGGAGGTGGAGGTGGACAAGCGGGCAGACTACACGGTGGGCGTGGCCTTTGACGATGTCCCTAAAGAGGAGGACCTGGGAGCAAACCGCCTGTCTTGGTGCATGAGGCACAGATTTGCATCATCGAGGTAAAGTAACATCTGGACAGCCAGTGTTAACATTCGCTTTGCAAGAACAGATCCGGAGGTCTTAGTAGTAATAATGAAGGCCTGCAGTGTGTTTCAGAGGATGTTTTAGGGTATTTCAGGGGTCTTTTCTAGTCCTTGTCCCTAAAGTCCAGATGAGAAGAGAAGGAGCAGCTTTGGGTGCTTTTCTTTCAGATAAAAATAGCTAAAATTTGCGGAGAGCTTGTTCTGTGCCAAGCACTGTTCCACACTCTTAGATATTTTATCCGATTTCCTTCTCAAATCTGTTATCCCATTTTAAAAACAAGAAAGCTAGGCCTCCCAGCGGTTCGATAATCCATCCAATGTGGGTTTTCAGAGCTTGGAATCAAATCCCAGCAATCCGGCTCCAAAGACAGCATTCTTCACCACTAAGCGACTGGTTTTCCCTGTTCAACTCGTGTTATTAAATGCATACACGTTTGATTTGAAGCCTCAATTCTGTCTTTGAGTGGGCAGACGCTTAATAGTAAGGGCTCATTCTGGTTTGCTTCTCCTGTAAAGCACTCTGTCCTGTAGGCATGGACTAGTTCTAGAAAGCTGGGGAAATCCCAGGAGGCCCACTGGCCAGTGGACATTGTCAGACTTAGAAAACCACTGTTGCAACCTCCCTTTGCCTCAAAAACTGTAAAACTTCCCACCATTTTCCCAGCACCTCTTTGTGGGGCCTCTGACCCTCACTGGCTTGCTGAATCCTATTAACATCTGATCCGCTGTTCTCTGCCTGTGAGCCTCCATCACAGTCAAACACTGTCTGTCATGCCCACGCATTTGTGGAAAGACCAGCTTCCTCCTGTAAAATGGCTGGACTAGAACTGACCCCACTAAACCTCAGGCCGAGTTTGAGGAATACGAGACGTATGAGGCACCAAGCCACAGGGTTTCTTTGGATTCTGCCTCAAGTAAGACTAAAAATCAAAGTGTCCTATCCTAGAAAGGTAAGAATGAAGGGCAGAGAAAGACACTGGGAGGATAAAGAAGGTGTAGGGGTCTGTGCATAATGGGCAGGGGTGTGGCAGGACAGAACACAGAAGAGGATGGGACGTGAGACAGCATGGAAAGGCAGGCCAGAAGCCAACCCCCAAGCTAGAGCAGTCGCACGCAGTCCCACCTCGGAAGGACGTGTGAGTGAGAGACGGAGTTACAAGTGGAGGATGAGGGTTTTTCTTACTCGTATTTCTTGCTTTAGTCTTGCCTTTGCTGTGCTGGAAGGAAGCTAGAGGGAGGGAAAGCTTCTGGTGGCTGCTTAGCTAAGAAAAGGAGTCGAGGGGAAGAAGAGGCAAGACGGCCTGGCTTGCTCTCATGCTCAGAGACTATTCTAAGTGTCCCCCTGGGGCTGTGGACCTGGCCCTGAGCTCTGCAGGCGTCTGTGGGTAGCAGGGGGATGAAGTCCCCGCGTCTGGTCTCGGTGCCAGCCATTTTCAAAGCACACGGGCCACAGAGCATGGCTGCTGTCGCAGCTAACGGTGACAGGCCCCCGGGCAGCCGTGCTAAGGCTGAAGGTTTGAGAACTGTGCCTGAGTACTTGTGCACACTCTCCCAAAAGGCCCATTTTATTACATGAAACATCAGGAGGTTGCCTGTTTCAAATGTCTTCATTATGAAGGCTTTATACATCCGATCCTTAAAATCCACAAATTTTTAAAATATCTATTTCTACACAAATTTTGATGCAATAGGAGTGTATGCTACGATATGCAAGGTTTTTAGGTTAAGACATTGTTCAAAAACAAATGGAGTTTAAAAATATGTCTCAGGGCGAATTTTAGAAAAGAGATATATAATTTTGGAAATGGCCTGTTTGGGTAGTCAGTTAATTAAAAATATAACAATCACAGGAGTATGTGAATAAAATTAATATGAAATGCTGTGTAAATAAGCCCTCTACAGAATTTCTGAAGCTCTGTTATATCAACACTTAAATTTTCAGGCATGAGTATGAGTTCCTGCACAACAAGACGACTCCAGATATAAGAATAACGGTGTCCCCAAGGAAGATCGGCATTCTGTTAGACTATGAAAACTCAAAATTGTCCTTTTTCAATGTGGACATTTCTCAGCACCTTTACACGTTCAGCTGTCAGCTCCACGGATTCGTGCATCCCTGTTTTTCTCTGGAAAAGCCTGGCCGTCTGAGGATACGTAATGGCATCGCAATGCCCACGCACGTCACTTTCTATTAGACCGTTCTGAGGCCCGGCTTCCTGTCGCTCTTGTGGTCCCTCCCCTCCCAGCCGCTCGGCCCTCAGCCCGTGGGCCTGGGCACTGAAGTGCCACGCACCCGGCCCCGGTCCGGCTCCCGCTGTCCTCTAGCAGACGGGTGCGCTGACGCTCGTCTCGGCGGACCTGGGTTCTAGGCCCGTGCTGCCGCCCACCCATGTGTTGTTCGGTGCGTCCCCACCAGGCCCGGCTGTCACGTGAGCGCTCTGCCAGCGCGAACCCAGAGGTCCTTCAAGTGGTCAGGCCGCACCGGTCTATTTGTTTATAGGCAGTGTCTGAATCTCAAGGCCTACAGAGCTCGGGCTGAGGGGCGAGGGAAGGGGAGGGGGGGATGCGACACCCGTGCCGTGTCGCCAGCGGCTGGAACAGACCTGCAAAGACGAGGGGCCGTCCACGAAGAAAAGCAGGGAAGCCACGCGCCTTCCCCTCTCCTGTTTTCCCAGCACCGTCGGCGCTGTGATGAGGGTCTCCCGCTGCGCACCGTGGCGCCATTCCCGTCCTTCACTGAACCCGCGCTCGGGCTTTGCAGCGCCCTCTGCCACGCCCGATTCCGTGAAGGCGGGTCGGGGTCTGTCTTGTTCATCGTCCAGTCCCTGAGGGCTACCCCGTAACGAACAGGTACCCACCGCCATTGGGATGAAGCCGTGTCCTCTCCATCCAGCCACTGCCCGTGGGCGCGCTGTCCCTGCTCTTCGGCTGAGGGACGGTGGGGCCCCCTCAAAACCAGCACAAGACGCGCGGCCGGGAGACGCCGTGGAGGGGAGGCGGTAGGCAGGCACAGAAGGGCCCCTGCAGCTTGATGGCAGGACGGGGACACGGACGACTCCATACTACCACATAGATGCACTTTCACTGCATCGACGACGGGCCGGGGAATGAACGAGGAACACACAGACATGAGTGGCGGCTGATCCTAGGAACCGTCCCATAAAGAGACCGTCCCATAAAGAGAACCAGGTTTGAAATCAGAAGACCTACACTGGATCGCTAGTCTGTAGCTGCTTTGCCTTCAACCCTAGAAGTGTCCCACTATCTTCAAGCGCTCCTGTTTCCCTTTAAACAGAGAAAAAATAGTACTTGTTTCACAGGACAGGAGCATTTCCCGGCGACCGTGAGAGGGCACGACAGTATGGGCGCACAGCGAATGCACAGCAGCTCCTGAAGACACCAGCCCACCGAGACCCAAGATGAGTGGGTGGTCTCCCCGCCGGCAGCTCTGGGACTTGCGACCGGCTGCTCTCGTGCCATCCTGCAACCACGGGACTCGGCCCCGCTGGCTGCATGCCCGGTTCTCCAGCCCAGGAGTCTGGCCGTCTCTCAGAGCTCTGCACACAGCACCTCCCAGCTCGCAGAGCAAACGACTCCGTCTGTGAGGCAATTCACAGAGACCGTTCTGTGTCCTGCCCTGTGGAGGCCTCTCGAAGCAGACATCACCTCATCACTTCGGGTTTTCTGTGAACTGGAAATGCCATGGCTCTAGAATCTTCTGTCTTCTAGCACACTCGAAGTCCGACAGTGAACACCCCTCCTGTCTCTAACTCGGCCTGTGATGTGAGCAGCAGCTCAGATTCCTGACTTCACAACCCACCTTGACGATATCCCAGCTCCTTAGTCTCACACGCACACACAGCTGCCCTGCCACGCTGCATCACTGGCCTGAAATCAGGAAGGTACGGCCCGTGTAAGCACAGACGGTTCAGGTTACAGACACACGCGTGTACCCAACCCTGTTCTCAGCTCCAGAGACAGAGACTGCAGTAGGAAGTAGGACATCACAGATAAGGCAAGTCTGAACTCAGGATTCTAACAGGCTTTATGGAATGTTTCACATGTAATACGGACATATATAAATGATAAAAACTCGACACCTATATAAGGTCTGAGTGAAATTTTTATTTGATCAAGAAAAAAAAAACCTAAAATTGGCACTGAGCATTGACATTTAAAATTCACTTAATTTACACAAGGCATATGAACAACTTAAAGCACTGTAATTAGCGTAAAAAACTTTGGTTTAAACATGTTTCTTCTGCAAGAAGAAAAAATAAGTCTAGAAAAGAACCAAACAAAACTTTTTTTTTTCTGTAAAATATTCCAGTTCCTAAAATATCACAAATAATCTGCTAAAACTAAATTTTAATAAGGGGCAGGATTTACCTCAAGGCCACATTCACCTGCAACCCCGCTGATAAATCTGTTAAAAAACAAAACAAAAAGGATTTTTAGAACATCAGACAGTCGAGGCCACGATCCCTGACTGCGGTTAAAACATGTCAGTCTGTTCTTTCCCTAGCTTCACCTGCCTCACTGTATAACCCTTGAGCAAATTATTTTTTTTTATTATTTTTTTTTTAGATTTTATTTATTTGACAGACAGAGATCACAAGTAGAGAGGCAGGCAGAGAAAGAGGAGGAAGCAGGCTCCCTGCTGAGCAGAGAGCCCGATGTGGGGCTCGATCCCATGACCCCGAGATCATGACCCGAGCCGAAGGCAGCGGCTTAACCCACTGAGCCACCCAGGCGCCCAACCTTGAGCAAATTATTAACAGAAGCTTTGGCTTCCCTCAACAAAGGGGAGGGAGAATATGTAAAAGAACCACAGAATCTTAGTGTCACTAACATGGGTTTAGTAATTCAGGATAGTCTGACTTGAAGGCACCTGAGATAGGACTAGAACGTTGATGAGAGACAAATGACACTGGTTCCTGATAAAATTAAATTGCTTTTTATTTGGAAACGTTTATATTTAATAACTGACTTCCTGCTGGTTCAGACAATGATATGCAATCACTTACACACATTCAATTAAATATTTCAGAAGCACGTGCTTGGTGATCAATATCAAGCAGAGCGATTACATGGACATTGAGGCCTTTTCTGCATCACTTCCCACCCTCCAGTACTTGTCAGAAGCAGTTCCCGTGGCTCACACGCTGGCAGCTGCCCGCAGCGCGAGTCACTCTGACACAGCATTCCGTAACTTAGACTCTGCTGGTCTCCATACAAGGAGGCTCAGCTCCCACAAAACTTGCTGGACTCCCTGAAGGCTGCACCATGGGAGAGGTCCTCCTTCCACTTTCCTAAGCAACTTCTCCAATTTCCAGCCCCCTTCCTATCAGCACTGTAAGAGTTTTCGTGGATCCACCACTTTCTCCCACCCTTTCTAATCTAATAATTTACTGTTCCTATTTTACAGTAAGACGACTCGAAGTGTGTAGTTGCTGTTGGTAGATAAGTAGGTCTTGAATTTACTTTGCAAACAAGACCTGTTCTATCTACCTTTTCCTTTAGGAGGCTAACAGCAGAGTCGGCTTGACTTCAAGGACTCTGTTTTCTTAGTCTCCAGAAGACCAAGTCCAGCTTTTAAAGCATGGTCCTCTAGCATGTCAAGACACGACAGGAATGGTCATCGATCACTTTTAGGTAACTGATGACTTTTCAGGTTTTCAGAGATTTTTCTTCACTGCAATCCACAGTTAAGGAATCTAAATTCAAGATGAGAACCGATGGCTTGGGAAGAAGACTCCAGCCAGTGAGCAAGTCTCCTAGAAGGCACATGATGATGAGCTGGGCATGATGCCCCGAGGCAGGAATGACGTCAGAGTAGCTACGGCACAAGTGCTGCTGCCCTGCTTGTTTTCTGCTACTCCCAACCCCAGGAAACAATCGAGGCCATTCACCGACTGATTGCTTTTTCTTCATTTTCCCAGACTTTGACACTATCAGGTTCTCTGCTCTGTCTACTCAAATCCTGGTGGACTCAAACTGTCGTTGATCTGAATTGTGACAATTCAGCTACATAGCATGCAGCTCAGACAACATGCAGTCATGCACACAGAGCCCATAAAAAGGCTTTTGTATTACGAACTTGGATTCTCCTTTTGCGGTCCCCCTCATGCTCATTCCTAGCCCTAGATGTGGGCTTAAGAGATGCCCTTAAATTCACAAAGACGGGTCCGGAGTCCGGAATATACTCCATTTGCTAGGAAAGCACTCAGTCAACAAAACCTAGGTCACCCAGCTATGCATTTTAAGAAAGGAACTTCGTTTTTTTTAGAGATGGATTTCCTGAGTACATACACTGCTTCATGGTAAACCTGTCATCTCATTCTGCCACTCAGAAAGCTTCCTACCCTCTGATTTCTTTTATACCCCAAGCACCCACCTGATGAAGGGGGAAACAGGGAGAGAGAAGGAAAATAAGAGAAGTACTACCCAAAAGCAAGCCCAGACCTCTGAAGAAAGGCAGAAGATACTTGATAAACAAGCCACAGATCCCTAGGCACCTGGGATGGACCGACCCGTTCTTGTCCATCTAATCCCTACGTAGCTCAAAGGTCACTTCCCAGAAGCACTTCCTTCTAATTCCTCCCTCTCCCAGGCTGAGTTCAGTGCCACACACTTACCTCTTTTTGAGTGGTATACTGCAACCCGCGACCTGTGTCGGCTCCACGCAAACCAGAGGCAGGAGCTGTACCTCCTCACCTCAAACCACCAGAACATGGAAGCGATGATGTCTGCGAGCTCATTTACCTGGAAGGAGGTAAGAGACATCAAACTGTCTCCCAAATTAAATCTCTTCATCAGAAAGCAAAGCACTTTTAAATTATGTGTGCTGGGTGAGGAGAGGGAGATAAAAAATATTCTCAGCCTTTCTGCAGTCCCCACATACCTAAGGATCCACCACAGAATCCCATTAGTAATAGCAACTTCTGACCCGGGAGGAGGAGGAGGGGGGCTGACAAGACCTGACACGTGAGGAAGAGGTTTAGAATGCTTTCTTCCCATCACAAGACATCACTAACGCTCACATTTAATATTCATTGCAGTTTTGACTATTCTTAGCCCATATTTTAAATGCTCTGAAACATCAATTCGGTTTTTATGTCTGGAGGCTGATGAGTAGAAGTGAAGGCCCTGACAGGGCCTGATCGACTGCACGACACACCGCACCACGGCTCTCTGCCGGTCCTAGAATCTAAGACTTTCACAGAGAAAGGACATGGTGTAAGGTTAACGACAACCCCAGGGATGTATAAAGACTGCAGGTCATAACTTCTCAAATGTCAAGTGTCTTTTAAAAAATCATTTTATGGGAGAGATTTCCTCACCCCTCCCCCCAAAAATTGTAGCCAAAC